CCGTGAAGGTGAAGATGATCCTATCCCTTTACTTGCTGCACACGTCCATCAAAACAAAAAGAATCAAAGCATAAACTCGTCAATGACCCTCCAGCCTTTTCCCCCATGTCGGAAATCTGTTTTTTTTTGCTCAGGAAACGACTTGGAAAATCAACCCATAACCGGTCTGCGAGAAAGTACCTGAAAATGCGAATGGTAATGCATTCAGTATCGAATTGCACCAAGGTTTTAAGGTGACATTTGCGCACCCTGTAGAAGTTTGGTTGACAATGAGGTGAGCTGCGCGGATTCTCAGGGGTGCGAAACTTTCCCAGGACGCGTTTTTTGAGGTAAAATGACAATGTGTTTTTGGCTCCTTTGCAAAGTGACAATTCCCCACCTACAGTTTGGATGCGGGAAAGTGAACAACCCGTAGGGTCCCCATATCGAGCGGTTCGTGGCCATAAGTAAGAATGCCACCGTTTTCCCTCTTGACTTTGCTTCCCTCCTCTTCATCATCATCAACACGAATATAACACAAGAAGTTGCCGGTCTCGGATGCCCCCCCCCCCCCCCCCCCCCCCCCTAGATGACAGCCTTCCCGCTGGATGTTGTTCGAAGACGCATCAGAGGGGACGACAAAAAGACTGGATTCGATCTCGCGGGTGTTCATGACAGGAGTCACAGGACGTCAATGTTTCGGATAAAGGAGCTGTGAAGAGCTGTTGCCCACCTCTGGCTCTATTAGGAAAGCTCACCGCCCTCGCGCCCATCAACGGAGAGAACGGTGCCAAATGTCTAGACTCCCCATCTGGAGCTTTTTACACCCCTGTTGCTCTCTGTATTTCTCACTTTTTGACGCGGCCAGGGATCCACCGACTTTCGCATCTTTTGTTACTTGTGGGCAATGCGGGACAAAAGCTTTTTTTAGCGAAAACGCACTCTTTCTTGTGCAAACCCCACTTGGAGAAGAAAAATACAAATAAAAATTGGCTGCTGCATTCCCACGGTATCATCCACCACGAACACGCTTCCCAATTCCCGACGACACCCAGTTTGAAAAAAAAACTCCATGGAAACTTTGGGCACGTTGGCAAAAGGAGAGTCTTGCAAAAAATATCATCCAGAAAAATACTAATGAGAAGTGAGCTAAAATATATTGTTTGCAAGGTGTCGCAGTGCACACTGCGACAGGGTATGTCTATCATTATGATGTGGCAACCACGGCTCAAACAGGACTTGTGTTTGAAGCCTTGACAAACAGGTGAATCACGGGGTGACGTGGTGCGTCTCTCATCCCTCGATCTATCCACATACCTTCAGAGGTGGGGTATCTTCAGAGGCGGGTCAGAGGTGGGTTATCCTTCAGAGGTTTTGGAGGTGACTTGGAACAGAGGGAACGGAGGGTTTCTTGGATACTGACTTCGGCTTTCCTGGTGTCAGGTACACTCCGCGCAGGGTTCCATTTCAATCGCTCTCCTTCAGCGACCAATTGTTTCTGGGCGTGGGCAATAGCCATCTGATATACTGCCAACTGGTACTTTGTCAGATTCTTCATCTTTTAACATCAACCTTGCGATAGCCAACACTTTGCTGCCATCGGCGCTTATTTGAGGTAAGGCCTGGGCACCAAGCGAGAAGTGCAGATAGTACCCATTGCCGAAGTACAATACCAATGCAGGTTCGACCACATCTGCCACTTGGTTGGTTCGTCAGAATGAGATCTCGAATGACTGCAGTGGTGATGGCATTCACGGCGATACTGAGCTCATTGAGCTCAAATCGAAAGCCGGCGAAAAATAAGTCGTGGGCATATACCCCCGGGTGAAAAGATGCCACTATCAAACAGGCATCGGCGTCCCTGTCCGGACCGTACCGCACTATAATTTGGCTCGCCAACATAGTCTACGAAGCCGCGTAAAGCCCATGGTGAATCAACCTTGCGTCCCAATCGGGCGTTCATCTGATTATCGGTGGATTCCATAAAGCCATGGACAAAGACTCCCAGAGAGTCATTGCCTACCGCGTTGATGTGCCAGGGCCGTATCACCTGCAACACCGTTTGAAGAAAGGCGCCAAAGGCGCAGTCAAGCAACAGAGGATCGCGTCTTTGGAGACGGGACTGAGATCAACAAAATGTTGGATTCTGCTGACAAAGTTGCGTGGGCCGACTCCGTCGACGTTGGTTTCATTTTACGGGAAGCATTCTCAGTGTGCGGAAGGTATCAAAGTGTATGCTCCCGTTGCCAACCGTCGCTACGTGCGAGATCAGGGAGCTCAATTGATCTCGCATATTCTTCGCTTCCTTTCCCCTTGTTAACAACACCTTCTCGACATTCTCGCGCTAGCTTCCCGCCCTCTCACAGGACGCGAACTCCGTGCCCCGACCAGATGCGGTAGTATCATTGATGCATCGAGAGGTGAAAATCCAATCCAAATGATGACCTTCGGTATGGAAGTCGCATCAACTGAAGCTTTCCGTCGTTCACGCGACGGTCGGCTAATTGCCTCACCGAAGTGACAATCGTACAGCCCTCGATACACTTTAAATAGTGAGGTCATAAAGGTGACGTCCCCATCCCTTTCCGTGTTTTCTCTGCTGGCGTAGTTATCTTCGACAGCATCTCGCCACATCCGCAGACACGTTTGGATAAATACGATGTCCGGATTCTTGATATCCTCTTCCCCGGATGCATACTGCGCAGAGGTTGAAGGGTTTGGAGAGGTTGGAGAGTTTGGAGAGGTGGAACTGGATCCGAAGAGGTTGGAAATTTGGGCAAAATATGGAGAGGTGCGCTGTGGTTGTCGTTTCTGTACTTCCTTGAGCAACCCTTTGGTACCTTCATAATCGGTGACTGTTGCTAGCTCAAGAAGCTCCTTGCTGTCAAACTCTTCTAAGGCGGTCAGCAAGGCATCGGCGGGTTCGCTAATGGTTTCGAAATTACACGCCTCAAAAAAATCTCGGATGCGGGCGCGCAACAAGGATTCAAGTCCCTCAGGCAATGAATGGACCGCGTTCCGGGTCCCGAGCGTCATCCAAATCAACAATTCCCCAGACCAGCTTGCTCGACGTAAGCTTCAGAGCTCTACAACGGCAGTGCGCGCAGTGGGAGCGCCAAAAGGAGCAGACTGTTGGCGCGCCGCGGTTACACGAACAAATAGTTTGTCGCGTATGAGGTCCAGTTCGGCGAGGTGGGCTATGCCAATTACAGATGCATCAGCTCCAGACAAGTGGTAGGGGACACTGACAAGATCCTGGTCGAGTCCGTCTATGATCGGTATGTTTACTTCAGGATCGTTGTCATTGGTCTGAGGTGCATTTTGCTGGGGATTCGAAAATAGTACGCATTCTATTGGCGAACATTAAGCAAATAAAGCTGATAATGAGAACTCGCCCTAGATATACCTCCTTCGTTGTCCCGCACACGGACTTTGGGTACGCGCTCAACAAAAGGATTGTCGTCTGAATGATCATATAAGTAAGACCCCCAGCCGATATAATGTACCAATGCAGGGGCGATACCTGTGTCTGTTACGGTGGGTCTCTTCTTCTGAGAGGCTTTAAATTGGCATAGCATACTTGTCCGCATCGTAAATGTCCAACGCAAACTCCGAATTTAACTTCCGTTTCCGGTGACGCGCTTCTACCTTTGGATGTAAAGTTTCAAACCCATGCTCTCTCAGAACACATGTGTCCCCGCACGTTACGTACCTCTTTTACGAGGGCGTCGACCACCCGCTGAACTTCGGCACGTTGACCAGGTGACTTCAAACGCCCTCAGAAGTGCCTCCACACAACGTTTGCTTTTTACAGGAGCAGATGGGCCTCGAATGTATTTCTGGAGGGCTTTACGGACCCTATCCTTTAAAAACTAATCGAGTACTTTTGAGAAAATGATGAGAGGGACAGGAAGCAACGATTGCACACACCTGCTGGAAGAAATTCCACGGCTTCTATTTTGGGATGCTCTGTTACAGAGTTATATCATTTCAATAACTGTCAGCTTCTCCTGGCATGTTTCAATACAGCCAACGAGATGATCCTACAAGAGGAAACTTTATATTTTAATCGCGGGTGCCCGCCCGAAAACCCAACAGACTAACTGGAATGCCGTGCGCTATCTAGCGCCACATCAAAGCCGTGCTGTTGCAGACAGCACACCGATGAAGGGGGATCAAGGGTCTCCGACAAACCAAGCATCCGGTGATGGGGGGTCGTGCCCACCAAAGGTAGGCGTCTGAAGGGAGGTTACTGGAATGCCGTGCGCTATCTAGTGCCACATCAAAGCCGTGCTGCTGCAGACAGCACACCGTGAAGGGGGATCAAGGGTCTCCGACAAACCAAGCATCCGGTGATGGGGGGGTCGTGCCCATCAAAGGTAGGTCCTGGGAACGGGCGGGCGATCCGTCTCAAAGTCTCAAGTTGGTCTGAATTCTCACAAAGACTGCTTACCTCAATTGACATTCTTGAAGACGATATCAGTCCGGCAAAAGAGGCGGTAGCGGCGGAAGAGGTGGTAGAGGCGAAAGAGGCGGAAGAGTTGAGAAACGGAAAGGGTCGCAGAGATTTGAAGAGACTTTTGGAGCGGGCGGAAATGCCCCAATTGCGCGTGGGATCGAACCCTAGCACATCATGCAAAGTCACTGGCTACTTGTAAACGAATATATTCTTTACGGCAAGGTCGAAAATATTGTTGGGAGATGAACGGCTGGATGGACAGTCTTCTGAACAAAGGTAACTGAAAGGCATGTGTTGAGAAGAGGGGGCGGGGGATATCCTCTTTTATAGAGTCGACAAACTCCCCCAAATCACCCATACCAATGTACAGTACATAAGGAAAAGAACATGTGCTGCTAGCGTTCAAAAGCTGTGGAATATGGGTAAAGCAAAGAAAGATATATAGAAGATAATATACAAATGTGGGCATAAGTGGGTCAGGGATTTCGTCGTCGTGGATCCCAATGAAAGGAACGAATCAACGAAGCTGAGGCTACTATGTGGAGTTTCAACAAAATATCGAGGTCCTATGGCCAAATGGATAAGGTGCCTGACTACGAATCAGGAGATTCCAGGTTCGAAAAAATCCTCTTCTCCGAGCAAGCTAACCCGAATGTGATCTTGACGGCTCGGGTTGCACCGGGGAACTATATATATATACCGTGAGCAATTTCCCAGCAGCAGCAGCTTTTGCACCAAGCTTGGGGTTCGCAGAGAGCTCGCAAAAGTTGAACAACGTCCCCCGTTCAAGTTTCTTCAAGGTAATCGGGGCACAAACTGCGTATTCTTGGGGCGGATGGAAACGGGTATTTCCCACATACTTGATTTTTTACGTTGTGAGAAACAAGTTTGGAAACCCCCTGTAATTAAATCCAAGCTATGGTTCTTCTACCCCCTTGATTTGTGTTGGGAATCTCTCGCTGCGGATGGAAACGGATATGTACCACATACTTGATTTTTACGTTGCGTGAGAAACAAGTTTGGACCCCCCCTAATAAATCCAAGCTTTGTATATTCTCATGTTTTTGATTTATGGTTTATGGCATCTCTCACTGCGGATGGAAACGGATATTTACCACATACTTGATTTTTACGTTGCGTGAGAAACAAGGTTTGAACCCTCTCTTTCGTACGGTTGCAAGGCCTTCCTCGCAAAAATTCACTTCTGCGACAGCAGCCAAACACCGCCCGGACAATTTTTTCCCACCACCGAGACCACAAACTTTTAAAGAGAAGGGAATTATTCTTTTGAACCCCCTTCCAAAAACCAGAAGAAAGTTCATGCTTCTGGGTGCTTGGAAAGGGTCGACAGAGAGAGACCCAAGCAAAAGGAACATATGGACTTGCACTAAAAAAAAATTAATTTTTCCATTCCACTCTCAACGTTCTCGCTGCAAGATAAAAAAAAAAACTCTCCCTGAAACATTTACGACTTTTCCCAAATACGTAGAAAATTGGCAAGATGTATATACGGTTTTACCTGCACTCTCTATTCTCATTCAAAAAAAATTCTCCCACCCTGCGCATTTACTATAAAAGATGTTTCCACGCCTTCCATGTAGAATATATACGGAGAAAAACAATACGGGTCATGGGGTTCAAATGGGGATAGAGTAAGATTGAAAAGAGGGAGGTGAATGACGGATATATACTTATTGCAGCACGATATATAGAACCGTGATATGATCACAACCTGATCTGTCGGTGTCGGATATACATCTGAAACGAAAAAAACAAAAGCTCTCAGAACGCTACGGGGGCTCTGGAATTTCACCACCACAGCAAATATTCCCATGCCCCGTCAGTTCCACTTCATCCACTACTAAGGTAAGCCTACCCTCGATCCCCTCGTCTCCACTTCATGCGCATCACTCGGCCCCCATTTGCACCCAAATCCTACGAACTGATCCAAACCTTTTTCTTTTCCCTCGCGCTCCTCTTCCCATACCAAATCACGGCAGACCAAGAATCTTTTAATCCATTCTTGGGCTAAAAAAGGTTTTTATCTCACCCAACCCACACTTTCTCTCTTTCTGTACTTCTCAATGTACTGCTACTGCTGCTGCTGCTGCTGCTGCTGCTGCTGCTGCTGCTGCTGCTGCTGCTGCTGCTGCTGCTGAACCAAGTCCATGCGTATACAGGATTCCCAAAAAGAAGCCCGTCCTCCTAAAAAAAACATTCTCACATATATTCCCACGTCCCACCCACAAAAAAACACCCCAGGGATCTCCACAACACACATGTTAAAACACAAAAAAAAAAGTATATTACAGTAATAAAAAACTCAATGCAAAAAAAAATGTAAAAAAAAAATCAAATCAACCCCGCTCACAACAAAAAAAAAATGGTATATATTCGTAAAGAAAGAAAAAGACCTTGCAAATGCAAAACGCGTGTCGTTTTGTAAGGAAAGAAAATCTGTAATAAGACCTCAATTTTGGTCGTTCCGTTCGGTGATGGGTAGTTCGTCGTTCAAACTGTGAGAAGCCAACTACTCTCCACTCACCCACCGACTCCCCAACACTTCATACATCCCCATCCGATCCTGTACTCTAACCCGCAACATACCCGTAACCAATTCCCTCGCATCCTTGCCCACCCCCGCCAATTTCGATGAATCCCAGCGCCCATTGACAATCATGCTCTGCAAGCGCGGCAAAAACCCATCGTTAAAGGGTAGTGATCCCGTCAGCATGGCAAACAGGACACATCCTAGTGACCAGACGTCGGATGCCGGGATGGGATGTCGTGGGGGTGGGTGTTTGAGTTCTTCGGGCGCGCAGTAGTGGAGGGAGCCTTGACAATATCCTTCTGAATCATCAGAGGAGGAGGAGGGGGAATCAGAGGGTGGAGAGGAAGAGGGGGCAGAGATTTCAGAGGAAAGACCGAAATCGGCTAGTTTGGCGTTCCAGTTGGCGTCCAGGAGGATATTCTCGCATTTAATGTCTCGGTGCACGACGCCGATTTCTTGGTGTAAATACCGGACCGCCCCCGCAATCTGTCCAAACAGGCGTCTTGCCAAGTCTTCATCCAGTTTACCGCGGGACCGAATCAAATCGAGGAGATTGCCGTTGGGCGCCAACTCAGAAACGATAAACGTAGCGTCTTCGGTATCCATCAGTTCAAGCATTTCCAGGACGTGGGGGTGCCGAAGTCGAGCCCAGATGGTGGTTTCTCTATCCATTTGTTTTTGCAGATCAGCGCATTTGGCGTGAAGGTCATTCTTGGGAAAATCTTTTTTGACAATTTTAACGGCAACAAGGCCAAGAGCTTTATGGGGACCATCAATGACTTGGGCTTCAAAGACGCGAGAAAAGGCGCCGGCGCCTACTTCTTTGCCGAGGAGGAAATCACCGACTTGGTCGCCTTCGCTGTAGTCGCCGTGGGCCGGGCCGCGGGAGCGGGAAATGTCGGCCAGGTTGGCGAGAAAGGAGACGGCGGGGGAGGGGGTTAAGGAGGAATAGGAGCCGCTGGTGACGGGGGAACTGGCGCCTGAACTTGTTCGGCGGCGGACGACTTTGACTGATAACGAGTGACGGGGGCGGTGGAGGCCGACGCGTTCTTTGGCGCGGGGGAGGGTGGTCCAGTGGGTAGGTAGGGAACCGGCGCCCATGGTGTTGGGGGACGAGGCTTCTGACGATGTGGCACTGGGTGGGCTTTGAATGATTTCATGGTGATGGTTGCCAAACGAGTCTTGGCCGGGGGTTGGGAGATGGTGGTTTTGTTCTAAAGTGGTGGTGGGTATTTTGACGGGAAGGGTTTTCTGGTGGGGGACAGTGGTAGTAGGGCTATTTGTAGAATGGCCAAGGGATGAATTCTGGAATCCGTGAGGGTATTGTTGCTGCTGTCGTCGTGGTTGATTAGTGTCATTACTGGTGGGTAAAGGACGGGTGAGGCTGGAAGGAGTGAGAGGGGGTTCCGGATGAGTGACCAAGGGTGCCGTGACTCCCGACAACCCCAAGCCCACTGGTTGTTCCTGTGGAGACTGTGACTGTTGCTGTGACTGTTGCTGTGACTGATGTTGAGTGTGAGACTGAGAATGCGAGTGATGGTGATGGTTGTGAAGGTGCTGATGGAGGTGATTATGGAAAGCAGGGAATCCACCGACGGATTTACTGTATCCGCCGTTCCTTTGCTTGGGAGAAGCGTTGGAGCCAGTGGTAAAATCGAAAAAGGCATGATCTAGCGGCGTATCCGTGGACGAGTTTCGACTGCTGCTGTTGATGCTGTTGATGCTATTGTTGTTAGAGTCTTCTCTAGAAATGTAGTTGTTGCCAATGTAGCGGGCAGTAGCCGTGGAGGTTTGTGAGGATGTGGTAGAGAGAGAAGAGGAAGGGCGGGGAGTGGATGTGCGCGAGCCGACGTCCGAGTCTGTGTGTGAAGAAGAAGAGTGATTGGAAGAGTTTGAGTAGAGGGACCAACGGTGGTTTTTCTGTTGCTGGTGGTGATGCTGCTGGTGGGGGAGAAGAGTTTGCTGGTGTTGAAGCTGCAATTGTTCCTGGAGCAAGTTTTCGTCAGGATGCTGCAGAGGGGAGAGGGGAGGTGGAGCTTGTCTGTGTTGGTGAAGCCATGAGCCCGCAGCCGCACTGGCCAGTCCTGCCGAGAGACTCGACTGGGTAGTGATGGTCGGAGTATTCTTTGTAGCGGTAGTCATTGTGTGTGGTCTGCTGTTTCTGATTGACTGACTGACTGACCCCACACACCCCCTACTCGTTCAGTTGCTGTTTGTGGTGGTGGTGGTGGTGGTGGTGGTGGTGGTGTGCGTGCAGTTGCAGGAATAGGAATATAGGCTTGCTCTGGAGAAGCGTGGTGGTGAGTGATCTTGTTTGTTGACGGGAGGGAAGTGCTCAGAGAAAGTACCTGAGTGCCCCGAGTGAGTGTTCAATTGCTTGCAGTGCTCTCTGAATCCACAGTCCTGTAGTTATTGGTTAATCAGCTCCTCGCTGAACTGAATCGCTAGTACTCGAGTAGGAAGGAGTGCCCTGGGGAGGGAGTCGTGTGCTTGTTCGCAAGTCTCGTAAGTGTGCTCGCTCGCTCGCTCGCTCGAGTGTGCTCGTGTGCGTGTGCGTAAAAGTAGAAAGTAACGCGTGAGTAAGAAAGAGTCTGAGCTCAGAGTCTGAGGAAATCCGCCAAAGGAAAGGGCGTTGGTTGCAAAAGCAGCGGATACAATGACTGTGCCATGCCGTGCAATCACGTGCGCCAAGTCACTTTTCAAGAACATGACTGTCCCACCGCCCGCCCAAATCGCTATCTCGCGTTGCACAGCGTTGCACTGCGCGGGTCCTTTTTGTCTCACCTCGTGCGCGCGTGCCCTTTTCATTATACCGGCCGATCTCGGGGCACTCGCCCTCGGGCCTCGGCACGATCCGGCTGTGATTCCGGGGCATCATCCATCACATGGGGCTATGAACAGTGTCATGGCTTTTGGGACTCGGGCCTCGGGGACCCACTGGGACCCAGGAAGAGGAGTTTATCCCCGGGCTCTTTTTCTCTGAATGCCACACAGGGTTCAATTCCAGCGGGTCAATTTAAATGCTATCATAGTTATTGCACGGCACTCTCGCAAGCACTGCACTCTTGCCCAAGTGCATGCAGCTCCAGC